CCACCTGAGTGGTTGTCAAGCCTGGGACTTCATTGTAGACAGACCCTAACTGTACAGTGCTTGCTTGACCAGAGCATAACAGCTGGCTGGGCTGTGTATGTGTGTGCATGCATACAGACTTTCACTACCAGGACCTGTCTTGCAAAGAGGGCAGAATCCAGCTTTCCATTCCCAAGGCCTTGGCTATACAGAGATATTGACTGGACTAGCTATCCAGGTGAACACACTATTCCAGAATAAAAGGATTTTATTCCAAAATAATTCCATTCCATTCACAAATCAGAGGAGTTATTCTGGAGTATTTAAAATTATTCTGGAATAATTGTGCCAGTCAGTTTCCCCTTGTAGAGACTGTTGAGTCTGTACATAAAATGTATGCGTGCATACACGTGTGAGTACATGCATACATATGGGAATATGTGTGTTCACACAGCATATGAGTTTGGCAGAGGTGGTGCTTTCCTTGCCACTATCCAGCAAATTTACAGTGTTGCCAACTCTTCTGATTCTGTAGGGCATTTCCGCATAGTTGGTGATGCCACAAATTCCTGGAGTCATGGAATAATGTGAGAATCTCAGCTTCCTTTCTTTTTATTTAAGGAAGTTTCTAACATCTGTGATAATGGAGGAAAACTTGAAAATGTGAGCCTGGATGGCTCAGAGACCAGACCCCCTCTCGGGGAACCCAGATGTATTATATTTTTTTAATCTCTTTTTAAGCTAATCTACTGGTTGAGTGGGGTACACACACTTCTTGAAAGCTGGAGATGACAGAACTGAAATGGAGACTCTTCCAGCAGGACCCAGTGGATGTCCCTGGGGATGCTGAATACTCCTGGAGGGACCTCTGAGTCCCTGTCATCTGCTCCTTCCTGGAGCAGGTTCTTCCCTGAGGACACAGAAGCCTGTTGCTAAGAGCCCAAGTTCACTGTTGCCAAACTTTGTGAGTATAATCGTGACTCTCATGACATTTGATGGCCTTTACCTTTCAAATGATCCCATGATTCCTGACTTCAGACTCAAATGCTGCCTATTCATAGTGAGTGCTCTCTCCCATTAATTTCAGTGGAGACAAAGCCAGGTTGCCTCAGGGAAGATATGGGCCCACCTCTTGCTCAGTAGTTAGGGCTGGGAAGGCAGGGTCTGAAGGGAGCTGAGGCTGTGTAGGGAGATGTGTGGGTGCAGTGGTCTAAGAGGTAGATAGGGAGGGCAGAGGTCTAGGGGGAGGTGAGGGCATTCGTGGCAGTTTGGGGCTGCAAGAGCTGGGTGTGAGGATTTAGGGGGTTGTGGGAAGCTGTGGGTATGCAGGGAGATATAAGGGTGCTAAGGGGATGTGGGAAGCTCTGGCTGTGCTGAGCAATGGAGAGTGCACAGGAAGACATATGAGAGTTTAGAGATACTGGAGGGATAGTTGGGGAACAAGATAGGCTGTCAGAGCTGAAGGATGAAGAGTGGGGTGCTGCAAGGGACAAGTGTGACAATCCAAGCCTAGGCTGGAGAGATGCTGGGAGGTCCTGGGTGTTGCAGGCTGGGAGAGCTCAATGAGGTCCATGTGCTTGGAATCTGAGCACAAAACGCTTCCCACATGCTTCAGAGACAAACAGCTTCCCTTTTCAGGGCTCAACAACTGGACAGCAGATAGGTTCTTCCCTTCCCTTAGCTCCTGATTTCTGGATCGGTTTTGTTCATAATCTGGAATTGGTGGCAAAGCCTGTTTTGCACCAGCCTTGTTGACAGCTAGCTTCAGGCAAGGAAGGTGGCTTGGTGCTGCTCCCCTCTCTGGGCTTATGAGCACTGCTGGCTTCAGTGCAGGCTTCAGGAGGGGAGCAGTGAGGAGAGGCACACATCCTAGTACAGCAACATCATGGAGATACTGGGCTGCAAAAGCAGAACCACCATGTTTTCTTGGTTCTCCTCTCAGGTCTGAAATTTACTCTCCCATCTCCCCCAACCTCAAGAAATATGGCCCTGGCCCTGCAAACAGCTTGGGGTGTTCTACATCTCAATAGATAAGGCTTTTCCCAGACACTGCTGGGCTGCAGAAGGAAGCAGCCATGTTTAAAGGCTTCCTAGCAGATGGTAGATGATGTGCTAGCCCTCAAAGCTGCATCACTTTGGGTAGCAGATGCCTCCTGTCCAGTCTGGGCCGTGCCTGGGCCTGAGTGGTCACTGCCAGCCCCACTCTTCTAACCTGTCACAAATCAACAGAGGCTGCAAGCTCAGAGTGAGAGAGGGTGGAGAAGAATCATGAAGGACTGCTTGTTTCATGTGCTCTGCTGAAGGAAGGGCTGTCATCACTGTCAGGGGAGCCCTGTAAACAGTTGACACTGGCTCCAGTGGAAGTCTCTTAAGGGAGTCCCATCATGTGTGACTTGAGTAACCCCACCCCAATGAATGCAAGGAGCACTGGGCAACTGGGGGAGCCAGAGGAGACAACCTGCTCAGTTGCAATGGGAATCTGATCCTTGGCTGAGAGTGGCCATGGCAATGTAAAGTCATGGCCAGGAACTGAATGGAGTTGTCAGCACCATCCCTACTTCACCATCAGCACTGAAACTCCCCTCCAGTCTGGACAGCAGAGCCTGGCCTGGGAAAGTCAGTCCTGAGGACAGGGAGAGCTCTCTCTGTGCCCTGCCACAAAGGATGTGTGTGTGGAAGCAGAGTCCAGCCCAACATCAAAGGAAGGAGATCAGTTGTAGTCACCCTGGTATGCTTACCACTGGGAACAGGAGTGCCCAGCTCTCATTGTTTGTGAGCTACGGAGGTGGAAGAATAGGCCATGAGACTTGCATCTGGAACACCTGAGTAGAGGGAGATCTGGGACTGTCAGTGGGGATTGCTGCTCTAGGGAATCCAGGGTGGGGGAGGCTGGGCTTCAGGCAGGGAAGATAGTGGCATGCTATTAACTGGAAGCAGGAACTGGGGCCAGTGGTGATTGTGGCTGGGAGCTGCTAGAGATCATGGTCCTGAGGAATGATAACCATGGGCTGCCTTTTGCCACAGCTGTCATGGACCCAACTTTCCAGGAACCCCTCTGCTCCCATACCAATATGGTGCTGGCTCCAGATAAGTCTAGTTTGCCCCTCACCTCTCTGCTCCTCATTCCAGCTGTCTCTTGCATGCCAAGTCACAGACTGTGGGAATTTGGTAACAATCTTCAAATACCTGAAGGCTGGTTATATGGAGGATGGAGATAGACTATTCTCTATGACTACAGGGGACAGCACAAGGATTAATGATATTAAGTTGCAACAAAGAAAATTTAGGTTTGATATTAAAAGTAACTTTCTCACTATGAGGTGGTTCAGCACTGGAATAAGCTATCCTGAGCGGTTGTAGAGTCTGCATCCTTGGAAGTTTTTAAGAGTGGGTTAAACAAAAACTTTTATAAGAGGGTTTAAATGGGTATATTCCTGCCTTGAGTGTGGGGCTGGACTAGATGACTTCCTGAGGTCCCTTCCAGACCTACTTTTCTATGATCTATTCTTCCTTCCTCAACAGCAAAGGAGCTTGTTCAGCCATGCAGGCCTTCTCCAAGCCTGGTTGCAAGAGCAGCACCATATAATATTTATGAGTCTATGCCAGAGGCTTCCCACATCATCTGTGGGTTTCATAGAATCACAGGTGGAAGGTACGTCAAGTCAGTCAGTTTGTCACCTGTTGCTGACATAGAGATATTAACTAGCATAACTATTCTGTAATAGCTATTTCAGAGCAACTGTTTGGACACAGTTCCAGAATAAATGGGATTTTGTTCCAGAATAAAATCTGTTTCTGAACAGTGTCCACATGAGAGTTATTCTAGAACAGTGGTCACCAACTAGTTGATCTGAATCGACTGGTTGATCATGGAGATTCTGACAGTCGATCTCAATCGGTCAGAGGCTCCACAATCGGGAGTGGCAGGACGCATGTGGCTGGGCTGAGCCATGCCCCCTGCTGCCCAGGCTGGGCTGGGTGAGTGGGGTCAGAGCCCGGGCAGCTTGTCTGGGGGGCAGGGTGGGGGCAGGGCAGGAGCGGTAGACCCTGGGGTGCCCTTTACTAACAAAAAGTGATCTTCACCATAAAAAGGTTGGAGACCACTGTTCTAGAATGGGCTGAACTGTACCAGAACAGCGATACTTTCCTCTATAGAGACAAGACTACCCATATACTGTGGTGATTCCAATGAATTTCCAAGGGCTTGGGTTGGCTCTAGAAAGGATCCCCTCTGGATTCCAGATACCTACCTCTACAGCTGTCTTTTCATGCTTTATTTCTATCGTCTGAGAGTAGCAGGGATGGTAGAACTACTTCCCTACAGAACTGCACAGCAGAGGTGTAAATCACTTAATTCTGAAGGAGCCAACAGTGATTGCCTTTCAAGACGGCTTGTTTTTGTTTAAGGTGACAGAGCCGAGATGATATTCTTTTTATGTCCAACAGAGTGGAAAGGCTAAGACCTTTATTGTCTGAGTTGTTACCACATTTGTATTTCATAGGTCATATTTTCACTGGGCCTGGAGCTGGTTAAATGGGCTCATTCTATGAATGCCTGGAATGTAGCAACCTCTTGGGTTTCTCAAAACGTCCTTACCAACCTCTGCTCAGTAATTTTAGTCCCTTTCAAATAGCTACAGCCCCTTCTGCCCCAAGTTTGACATTGTGCTTTTGATGTCCTACTCTTTCTTTTTTTCTTCTCTATTGGGGAGGGGAGGGGGCTTCCAGAAAGATTAATCCCTCTGGGTTCTGATCATGAAGAAGTGAGTTTGAGCCTTGTTGCAAACTCATGCTGATCCTCCCTGCTAGTTAACTCAATTGTGAATGGACACCTGGTTATTCAGGCATAGAAGTCACAGGCAGTCAGATATGAAACTAATGACATCATTCCCCTGTGTGCTATTGACTACAGAATCTTGCCTGCCTTAATCTTGGTGTCCTGATGAGATACTCAGACTCTCATGGACTTCTGACTGTCTTTTCCTATTGTGCTAACAGTGTGTCTCAATTGAGAATAAATCTTGTTTATCCAATGTTTGTTTTATGCTATCTTCTGTCCTAATATCCCTGGGCTTGATCCCCAGGTGGCATAAGTCAATGCAATTCTATTTGACTTCAGAGAAGTTAGTGGTCAAAGTGGTCCTGGACTCAGGGCACAAATGAACAGGAAGAACAGGCCTTCCTGTGTTGTGTTGGCCCCAATCTTAAGCTATCATGGCTACAGTACAGCATAGAAAAAACAAAATGCCTGCTAGGTCCCAGACCCCCTGCCTTCCCCCGTCACCACAACCCAATGCATTGTGACCGGCACATGCAGTGGGAACCAGAGCTCTTATTCTGCACCCTCTGCAGACTCGGATAGTATTGCTGCATCAGCCACCCTTGGGGCAGCTCTTCCCTCCCAGTGACTGGCTCAGGCTCTGCAAAGTCAGGTGGTACCACCATGTCAGCTACACATGGCTTGCATTTTGAAAGTTTACTTCTTAACAACAACAGATAGTCTGATTGCCACCCCCCTCCCCCCAACACCCTCCCCATGGAAGCTGAGACTCTGGAGAGGCTATTGAAGGAGGGCTTATCTCTGGGGGAAGCAACAGGTGAGCATGAGCCTGGCAGAGCTGCAGCAGAGCTCTTCACCCTGTCCCAGGCTAGTACTTCACATGGCCCTGAGGGGCATGTGCTCTGGGGAATATGGAGTGAATGTGTGTTAGAGAGCCTTGGGGACCAGCTGTTTAGGCAGGACAATTTAGCAAGCTCTGGAATGGGGAGACTGTCCAAAGATTCTGAAATCACCTTGATGCTTTCTGCTAGGGCAAGAATAGCAACCTCCCTGCCTTCCACCCCTTTCTCCCCCAACAGTTGAACTATTAAGCCTTCCCTTCAATAGTTTTCTTCCCTAAATTGCCCTATTTGGCACCATCTGGCACCCAGGGGTCCTGGGTGGATTTCCCCCAAAACCACATGGAAGAAGCTTTTCCCTCCACTACTGTGTGATGGGGTCCCTCCCACCCCCCATCATGTCTAGCACCCAGAAGAGCTCAGGCTTCCTTTTGCTGCCACATGCTATTTCAGGCTCTGGGCTGGGCTGGCCTGGGCTGAGCTGATGTCCACTCAAGGCCCTTGGTTTTATGTACCCATGTGAAATCTTTTCAGTTAAGTAGCTAGGTCTATCCCAGGGGAGTTGCTATCTGTGGCTCTGAGTCCTTCCAGTTAAGGTTTAGAGGCTTTTCAGACAGTCCAAGATGAACCCAGGCACCAACTTAATGTGAGGACTAGAACCTCTAAAAACCCACCAGGAAATCAATCCAGCGACATGGACTGGGATGTGCAATGACAATGAACCTTATACTGGGATGGGAATCAGCTGACTCTCTCACAGTCCAATACCTCAAAACACTCTTCATGCAGGGCTTTCTCATACATGAAAACCTGACAGAGCCAGGTTTACCTCATCCATCCTCCTGGTTCCAGCATGGGTGGCTTACAAGTACAAGGGGAAGCTCTCTATCACTATATGCAACTGAGCATAAACTAGAGAAGCCACAAGGATAAAAAAGGTACATTGGCTGCTTACAGATGTTTAAACCCCCCCCCCCCCCCAAAAACACGCAGTTGCTTCAAACTCGCTTTGTGCCCCCCCTGCACAAAGCCCAGCACATGCCCAGAAGAGGCATTGTGTTAGTTGGACCTGGCTCGTCCAATACCTGTATGGACCAGGCACTTTAGTGGGGCTATTTTGGAGGGTTAAGAAGAGGGTTTATGATGATAGGTTCCTGACCCCCACACTGTACTGCATGCAGAGTTCTTGTAATATGGCTCCACCCCATGTAGGGCCTGCACTTAGGTGCACTCAGACTCCCTGGGGAGCATCTCTGTCCTTCCTGCTTCAGGGTGCCTCTCCAGACCCTCCTAGTTTGGAGTATCCATCAATGCCGTGGTGGGAGGAGGTATCAAGTGGGGGCAAAGACACATACCACATCACTAATGGGAACTGGCAGAGCCAGAAGAAGGGGTCCAAGAAGTCCCGACTCCCAGACCCTGCTCTGCCCTTGCTAGGGCTACAAATAGTATCCAAAGACGCTGACACCCAGCCCTCTCTGTTCTAACCATGAGGGCTCCGTTTTGCACCCAGGAGTCGTGGTGTCTAACCATAACCTACAGTGGATTGCGCATAACAATTTGCACCCAGTTCTGTCTGGACTGATGCATCATCTCCTCAGAGGAGTTGTTCCTGCCTCAGACCTAAATCCCTTCTTCAGTTCTACCCTGCAGGGCCTCCACTTAGGTGCACTCAGACTCCCTGGGGAGCATCTCTGTCCTTCCTGCTCCAGGGTGCCTCTCCAGACCCTCCTGGTTTGGAGTATCCATCAATGCCCTGGTGGGAGGAGGTATCAAGTGGGGTTCCCTAGGGGTCTGTCTTAGGTCAGGTATTGTTTAACATCTTTATTGATGATTTGGATGATGGAACTGAGTGCATGTTTAGCAAATTTGCAGGCATCAAGTTGGGTGGAATTGCAGACTCCGGAGGATAAGACTAGCATCCAGAATGACTTGGATAGGCTGGTCTGCAATCAGTCAGATTAAATTCATAAAGGACAAGTACAAAGACCTGCCCTTGGGACAGAGCAATTGCATGTACAAATACAGATGGAGGGATGACTATCTAGATCTAGGCTGTGTGGCAGGGTGGACAAAATGCGGCCCAGGGGCCGGATGCGGCCCGCCAGGCCATTCTATCCGGCACACGGGGCCCCTAAAAATTTTAGAAAATTAATATTTATCTGCCCTGGGCTGCCTGTCATGCAGCTCTCAATGGCTTGCCAAAACTCAGTAAGCGGTCCTCTGCCCAAAATAATTGCCTGCCCCTGTTGTATGGGCACCCCACTTCAAGATGTCGACAAATTAGAGTACAGCAGAGTGAAAAAAATCATTAAAGGTCTGCGATACTTGATTTACAAGGAAGGGCTGGAAAAACTGGGATTATTTAACCTGGATAAAAGAAAATTGAGGAGGAGATTTAATAAAGTTCTTCAAATACCTGAAGGCTGGTTATAAAGAAGATGGAGATAAATAGTTCTCTGTGGCTTCAGAGAACAGGACAAGGTGTAACAGTCTTAAATTGCAGCAAGGGAAATTTAGATTGGATATGAGGAAGAATTTTCTTGCTACGAGGATGGCTAAACAGGCTATTGTGAGAGGTTGTGGAAGCTCCATCCTTGAAAGTTTTTAAAGGGCAGGTTAGACAAACACTTGGCTGGGATGTTTTAGACAGGTGTGACCCTTCTGCCAGTCACTGGATGGCAGAAACAAGGGTCAGTTTCAAATTTACGGCTTTAAGACAAACTTTCTGTTCTGGCTAGAGCCCTACTCATAAGCCTGGGAAAATACATTTTAACAGAATGTTCCAAAGTGAACAAAATTCCCTACTCTCAAACAACATGAAACTAAAGCAGGGTTTATAACAGGGGAAAAGGGACAAATACCAACCTTTAAACCCCCCCCGTATTAAACATTAAATGAAACTTCAAACAGTTAAGAGTCACTATCAAACCAACCCAGGGGAGTTACCACCTATCCCAGTCTGTTGGGAAGGAAGTCTCACCCATGGCTTCTATCCAGGGGCTCTACCACCTAACCCAGCCAAAAGTGGCAGGTGCTAGGTAGGAAGGCTCACTCTGGAAACCCTGCTTCTCTCTGCCATGAAGGGCCACTGTGGTCCGTGGGCTCTAATACCTACAACATCCAAAGCACCAAGTCCTGGGTAAGGAACCCCACACTAGAGTTACCACCATTCCACTACTGAAGACGCTACTCTGTCTCTGGGGGTCTACCACTGCCACTAGGAGGTCACCAGTGCCTTGTTGGGGGTCAGAGGATGTTACTGTACCACTGACACTGGTCCTCTTCAGGTTACCTATGCAACTCCTGTTCTTTTAGTCTTCAACCTGCTCAACAGCAGGCTCAGGGATTTCAGCTCTTTTAGAAACTAGGGGCATCTACACAAGATGCTATGTCACCATAAAGCAAGTACTAAATGACTGTGCGGTAACAACTTATACAGTTAGGCACACATGTAGACATGCCCTCTGAGTATCAGGTTTCCACCTGACCACACCACAGAGGCTTCTACCCACAAGTGTCTTTCCCTTTGTGAAATTGATGATCCACAAAACCATTCAAGGAATAAATGCTGTCTTATGGTTCTCCTGCTCCTGTGCTGGAACTGAGGGCCACCCCACTGCTGACCCCTCAATGACCTTTGCCCAGTTTTCCACACACAACACTTGTGTGCCTACAAACTTCATAATTTTGGAAGAAAGAGTCTGGGGACAAACAGGATCTGATCCACCTGCCCTTTATGTTTGCATACTTCTATCTAAAAGCAGTAAAGACAGGCCTAAGTAGCCCCCCAAACATTCATATTAATGAGGGTATGCAAAGAAAGAATACACAAGTTCCGATAACATACATAGCATAATCAGGACTAGACAGGCATGTTCCTGTCTTGAGCAGCGGGGGTTGGACTAGATGACCTCCTCCCAGCCCTCTTTCTATATGATTCTACATTTCTATCGGAGGATGCAGAGTGGCACTGACTGCCAGGGTCCTCAGAGATAGTCCTTAGTTCCCTGCCAGAGGGGACGAAAAATCAGGGGAAGAACTGGGTTCAGCCACATGTCTAGGACTAAGGCTCCCCAGAAAGAGTATCTCCTAAGACTCTGCCCCCCCCCCTGCTCTGAGCCCCAACAAATTGGTTCTGTGCCTGCCAACTCCATCCCCAAGAGATGGCACATGGAGAGGACTCCTGCATCCCATCACACTGCCACCACCTAAGGAAATACAGTAGGGGCTGGCTGGAGCAGGCCCTGAATTACCTTCCCTCCTGTTCCCTGGGGGTCAATGGACATGGACAGACATAGGTTTTGAAGCATTCTAGGTTCCTTTAAAGTGCTCCAAAAATTGAAGGTGCAGATGCACACTCACAATGAAGTGTTTTAGGAATGGCTGTTCTGCTCCAAAAATGATCCCGGAA